ATAATTTATCATTATTTCCATGTATTCCTGATTTGGATGTTGAGTCTAAGAATTCTCACATAGCCCAACATTCTTGAAGATTTTTCCCAGTAATTTTTTCCTAAATGGTTTATAGTGGTACATTTTACATCTAGGTCCATAATCTATTTCCGGTTCTTTCTGTATAAGGTGAGAGGTTTTGGTCAAGTTACATTTTTATTTATATATTCAAGTCCAAGTATACCAGCAGCACCTTTGGTCTAAATCCATCTTTCCTCTACTGTATTGCTTTTGTAACATTGTCCAAAATTAGTCAGCCATATTTTTTTTAGTTTGTTTCTGTGCACCCTACTCCATTTTACTGATCTACTCATCTATCCTCCCACCAAAACGAAAGTCTTGATTACCAAAGGTATACAAGAAGTCTTGATGTGGGGTAGACTGGCTTCTACTTTATTAATCTTTTTCAGAATTGTTTTAGCAATTTTAGTTCTTTTGCCTTCCATATAAACTTTACAATAATCTTATATACTCTAAGAAAAAAATCTTACTGTACTTTTGAAATTGTGTTAACTTCTACTAGACATAATGTCTCTTATTTACATCTTCTATCATTACTTTCATAAATGAATTGTAGTTTCTACTATACAAGTAGTGTACAAATTTTACATCTTAAATTAGATTTCCACCCATATATTTCATTTTCTTAAGCATTGGTGGGCTTTTGTATCCACACGTTCATGGCTAGAACACATCAATACAATTGATTTGCAGATGTTAACCATGGATGCTGCCACCTTGCTGCACTGATTTATTAGACAGATGTATTTTCAGCCACACTCTAGGTTTTCTACAGACAATTTTGTCATCTGCAAATGGAGACAGTTTTATTTCTTCCTTTTTAATCTGTATATTTGTTACTGTTTTCTTACTTCATTGCAATAGCTGCAACATTAACAACTGTTTTTAGTAAGATTGGTGATGGCTTGAAGCTCCGAGCCCTGCATTTACCTAAATTTTAGGAAGAAAATATTCATGCTTTTATCATTAAAATACCCATTGTTTTTTACAGTTTTAAAATCAAGTTGAAGTCTTCTTCTATTCCTATTATTTTGAGTTTTTAAGCCCTGAATGAGGGTAGAACTTTTTCAGATATTTTTAAAGCACTGACTCACTGACCATGTGAAGAGACATATGGTGACTTGAGATTTTCCTCTTTTCTAATTTGTCACCTTACTTTTTTGTTTTTCTCTCAACACTACTTTAGCTATATCTTACAAATGTGCCATGTTGCAGGTTTATTCATTTCACTGAATTTTTAAAAGTTTCTTTTGCTAATTCTTCTTTGATGTATGCAATATGCAAGAATGATGTACCCTTTTCAAGTGCTTGAAGATTTTAGTGCTATCTTTCTGTACAATTTCACATTGTTTTTCTCCTATGGACATACACACTATGATTTCGATTTTTAAAAAAAATTTGGAGGAATGTTCTATCATTCACAATAAAGTCTATTTTGGTAGATGCCCCTTGAATACTTAAAAACATTGTGTGTTCTGTGGTTGCTGGTGGAGCCCACTGTAACTTTGATTCCAATTGTTTGTGATGGTGTTATTCTATATCCTTGATAACCTGGTAAGGTCTTGTTTAGCTTCTGCTGTTCTGAAGATTTTTGTCTTTAATTTTTAAAAATCTGAGTATGTTTTATTTGTTTAGAGCTAACTCAATTTTTGAGTGTATAGACCTATGTTATTTTCCAAATTTAAGAGTTTATTGATGATTCTCTTCTTCCTTCCTCTCTTCCTCCCCTCCCCACTTCCTTCCCTTCCTCTTTCCTCCCTCCCCTCCTGTCATTTTTCCTTCCTTCCTTCCTTCCTTCCTTCATTCCTTCCAGGCTGGGCTGCCTTCTTTCTCTTCTTTCCAGGACTCTGATGCCACACAAATGTTGCACATTTTACTTCAGCCCCTCAGCTCCCTGAAGTTCTGTTTCATTTTCATTTCTGTTAGTGTACTGGTGTGTGTGTGTGTGTGTGTGTGTGTGCGCGCACACACATGTATGTGCCCATTATCCCTGTGCTGATCAGACCTGGCACTTTCATTAGTCAAATTTCCAGGCCACTGATTCTTATGTCTTCTATTTCTTTCCTTAGATTTTATATTTCTTTAATAAAACTCGTTATTTTTTTCAAATGTGCTTGTAATTACTCTTTATATTCGATTTTATGATAGCTGTTTAAAAAACTTTGTTCTTTTTAAATGGCTGTTTTGAAATCTTGCAATTCTAATATCTCTGGCATCCTGATTTTGAAATCTATCAGCTGAATGTTTTCATTTAGTTTAAGATCTTTCAGTTTCCTGTCATGAAGACTGATCTTCAGTTGAAGCCTGACTATTTTGGATGCTTGGTTATGGATTCTGCAAGTTATATAAATCACCTGTTTTTGGTAATTTCTTATGAAACAATTCCTAGGGACATGACAACGGAAACCACTGCCTCTCCTACCTGGTGAGGATGGAGGAGTGGGAGGACGCACATCTTGTTTCACTATGTGGGCCTCACTGGCCCAGCGAGGGAGGGGGACACACTGACATCTTCTGGCAAATGTCATTATGGGAGTATTAATTCTTGGAGTTTTGTCCTTGCTCTATTATTACTTAACTTTATATTCAGTTTGTCTGGGTTTCATACATTAAAATAAAGGGTCAGGCCGGGGATTTAGCTCAGTGGTTCAGCCACCTGCTCTGCAAGGACAAGGACCCAAATTCGATGCCCAGTACCACCCCCCCAAAAATAAATAAATAAAATAAAATAAAGGGAAAGAGTTATGCCAATTAGGCTACAATTTCTTTCTCATTTAAACTTTCTAAGTAATTATTTAACATGAGATTTAGAAAAGATGACATATTAAAAATTTTGCATACATATAAAATCAATTTTATAATCATACTCATTATTTTAATTACAGGCAATTAAAATCCACAATGAAGGTGATGTAATAAAATTGAGAAAATAGTTATGAGCTCATGAAGGCAATGCCTTCATGCTGTAGAGATCGTTTGCATCCTTGTTTTTTAATCCACCTGCAGCATCTACCTGCAGCAGAATTACTTGGTGAACTTGGTAAAGGTGAATTTCCAGTGGTCCATCCCAAAATCAAACCTTCTTTATGTGAGATCTAAGAAATATATTTTCAGACACCCCTTAATAGTTTATGCACATACATGATTCTGAAGCACTGCTCTAAAATTCAATATATTATTTTCAACCTTGAAGAAAAAAAGTGTGATATGCTATATCAAGACAGAATAAATGAAAAAAATTCAAGTTCTGGTAACCAATTACAGAAAATTATTATTGTTGTTGTTATTATTATTATTTTGCAGTACCAGGGATCAAACTCAGGAACTTGCACTTGCAAGGCAGGTGCAGTGCCACTGAGATAAATCTCTGGCCCCAGAAAATCATGATTGGGAAGGAATAAGGTTGATATTTTTAAAACAATATAACTGTTAGGAGGTTCTCACAAGCTTGTATTTTACAGTCATGCAACAAATTTGGATGAATATTAGAGAAAGATGAACAAGTGGTAAAAATCTGTAAGAAGCTTGATATTTTAATGAAATCTGCGATGAGCATTTCAGACACCAAGGAACTGTCTCTGTATGTGTAAGGCAAGAAAGAAAGATGTACGAACTTATAGTCTGGTGCAAATGGTAAAAGTTTATGTCTTACACATAGAAGATATTCAATGGATATTAACTTTAATAGTCTCAATCTCATAGAGAAAAACCTCCCCCAGTCCTAATAATCATTGTTTGGATGTTTCTGAAATATGTAAATATGCACTCATCAATAGGATAAATTGTAAAAATAATTTTACATGCAGATTAAATGCCTCCTTGTATGAGTACCCATATTTTTCAGATGAGATATCCCACAATGTTCACCAAATTCTGAAAAGGTGATATGGTGCCATATAGCCTAGCACATTAGCTTGCCTTTTAAAAGCACTACTGTTTAAAAGATACAGGAAATAACTTCTGCTACTTTTGGCAAATTTTCAATGTTGTGTTTTACTTAAGGAAAAGGTTACGGGGCAATTATTGTTCGCCTGATACAGGAATCACATTTACGACAAAAAGGAATTTGCTCTCAGGAAGCTTCATGCTGAAACCAGAGAGAAAAATTACACAATAGTGATGATAATATTAGTAATCTGCAATTTTTGAAACCAAGGAAATAGATTACATAAATGAGTTAAGTTCAATTTCCTTTCTAAACCAACAATGCCATTGAGGTTCTTCCTCAATCAATGGCTGCAATGTGGGCTAGGAATTCCCATCTTGTGTTTTATTATAGGAACTCAGACTAGGTTATGATTAGAATTAGCTTGTGCTTGTAAGCAAGACACAGGGTTTTCCTTAAAATTCCAGATGATTAAAGAATGCTTGTATGATTCTGGAATTTCCTAACTGCCCTTACTTGCTAAGAACTTTAGATTTCATTCAAAGCAAATATGCACACACATTCACAATACTATTACCTCCCATCTACTTAACGTTGTCTAAATAACATCAGGATCCAATTTCTCAAAGTATTGGATAATTTTTAAGGAATCATAGAGACTTTATTTCCTGGAGTTTAGAATATTTATTTTCATCAACAACTTTAAGTTTCAGGAAAGTAAAAAATGTTCGTTGTTGCTCTTTGCATTGTGTGCATATTACTAACTCATTTTTGAGATTAAAATTGAAAATGATTTCAGGAGATACAAATGCATAGCCTTAAGCAGAGGTAATATTCTAACAAAAGAAATCTGTATGCGAGACTATGCTCATCAACATAAGAAATCAGTTAAGGATGAAATCCTGAAGCTTATTCTCGTGACAGGATGAATCTATTAGTGCAGCTAAGTATTTGCAGACCTTTGCATTTCCAAATACTTTATTAATGCCAGAAACAAGACAATTCTTGGCTTATAAAATAGTACAAACCACCCTACAACATCTGGCATACTTACACACTTTTCACTGTCAAATACATAGCACAAATGTTTATTTGACTCGGAATCTTTGCATATGAAAGTGAATATCCTCTTGTCGGTTTTATCATCTGCACAAAATGATATTCTATGAAGCTGGCAATTGTGCTGGACTTCCTGTGAACACAGATGGAAATAAATATTGGATGGCATTTTTTTCCATTTTGAGAAACATCAGCTTGTATCAATAACACATAACGTATGACTTTAAAAGTGTAGCAATCGTCTGTCAAGCTTTGCTGTTATAATTACATACATCCCAAACATAAACAAAGACACAGTGCAGATGGGTCACAAGACTCAGGGCTAAATTAAGATATTTATTTCAATAGTCCTTAGAAAAATACAAGCGTAATACAAGAGGATCAGAGGGCCACAGTCTTTCAGACCCCAAAAGATGTTAAGAGACCATCTACTTCAAATCCTGCAAGTTGACATAGAACAAAGGGGCCCAAAGAGATTAAGATATTCCTAAAAGTTTACAGAATTACCATGACCCTTTTTGAACCCAAATGCTTTTATTTTATAACACTGCTACTAATATTACAGTTAGAGCATATTCTCATCTGCACAAAATTTCACCTGAAGCTCACTACCAATTCATCCTTAGTGTCCTTGGTGAATTTTATTTTCCATATCAACATGGCTACTTTTCTCTCTAGGAAGGTCCTCCTTGTACCTGCAGTAGTGTTCCTTGTGGAGCAGCCCCAAATGACTGCATCCACCCTGTTAATCACGTGAAGAACAAGTGCTACAACAGAGAGATGTGGCTGCAGCACAGGCACGTACACACGCACGCACACATTGCACATGAAATCACACAGCCTATGCAAACTATCAGAAATATATTTAATTAAAATAAAATATGAATATGAAATAATTAGAAGAGCAAGTTTTTAAAACTATTGTTATTTAGTCAGAAGACTGAGCGTTCGATAATACTGACATTCATATTTATCATCAATATTTATTATTTATTCATTTTCCAAACTTGCTGAGACATGTTGGAGGTAGAAAACAAATCTTCTTTTTTATTGAATTATGACTGATGCAAACATGTAAAAAAATCATTCCCTTTTATATTGTAGCTTTAAATATCTTTTATCAAGATTGCATTATAACACTAGGAGTATTATGTAGAAACTCAGGCCAGACATCTTACTTAGTGAGTGATGTAGAAAAGTAGAGATATACGGAAACCATGGTTTCAGTCAAGGAAAACTAGACTGATACCACCTCAGAAAGCCTTATTTGAAGCCATATCTAGTAGTGTTTTTCCACAGGTAGTTTTAGACATCCTGTAGTACACATATTTGGAGTACCTGCTACAAATATTTCCCTTGTCTTTATTCCAACTGAGTCAGAATCTCAGGGATTTTGATCAGGAAAAAGTACCATGGATATCCTAAAGGCCCACATTCCTCCCGGCTCAGATTTTGATATGTACATTGGCTTGCTAAGGTTTGCTCGCTCACTTTGATTTGCATACCTGTGTATCAGCTGAAGATGAGTACCTAAAATGAGGCAGACCCAGAAACACTCAGAGAATTTATCTACAGCGATGTATCTTTCCCTGCATGTAAACTGAAAGGTAAGCCACCAAGTAATTGCTTAGCAAATGTGAACTTTTAAATGGGGAAGTATATGGTTAATGATATTGTGGCATTACTAGGCAGCCTGATATATCCATTTCAGCAAAAGAGACAAACAGTGCTAAATACATAGGCTTTTGATGAGGGCATCCTTCTTCCCTTTCTTGTGGTTAGTGCTTAGATAATGATCATATCTGTCTAAACAGTATTTTGCCTGGCTTTCCATTTTCCTTTCACATTAACCTTTATTTTTGTCAAATTTATTATTTATCAAACAATCACTTTCAGCCACTGTAGCTTCCAAATACTGACTGCAGATCTACATTAGTTCAAGAACTGTCTAATCACGCTAATGACACATAGTTATTTCCTTCTTTTTTTTTCTTTTGGTACTGGGGAACTTGGGACCTTGCACTTGGGAGGCAGGCACCCTAATGACACATAAAGAAGACATATCCCTCTATACATTGTAGAAAAGAGGATAACAAGTCCACGTGAAGCCACCGTTTCCATAGTGCGATGAAATCAACATGGCCCTTCCTTCACTCACCAGCCAGTACAATCCCAGAGCCTCGAGTTACAAACAGCTGGAGGCCATCCTAAGGTGCATTCTGACAACATTATCTTCACACAGAGGAGGAATGGGGGAACTGCACTTGTAATTTCAACATTTTTATGAGGATTTTGTCATTACTGTGATAGATATTTAGGGACTCGGAAACACAGCGAACCAAAGTGAAGAAGCGCATACCCTTTAATATGAATATTAGTTTACGGGGACTGGAACAAAAATATCAACATTTTTATCCCATTTCATCCCACTACCTGTTTCCAGTACCATAAAATATTAATTTGAAGAATAAATGAGAAATGCAGAAAGGAAGAAAGACAAAGAGGAAAAGGAAATATACAGAACCAAGTTGTTACAGACATGGTTTTTGATTCCACTTTCACCCTCTCGGGTGAGAAAAATATTCTTTTCTATAGTCCATGTTAGATTAATGATACATTTTAAAATCCTCATCAATATTTATCCATAAACTTCTATTAAGAACTTCATATTTAATTGCGTATTTTTTTCTAACTTACAACTTACACCTATAATGAAAAGACTGACAGGTTTTCTTTCTCTAGCTCATTCTTGTCTCCTAGACTAGTGGGCTCAGAAATTCATGTGTGGAAATGGGTTATTCAGAGTAACCTGGGGAGTCCTCTCTGCCTTCCTCTCCCTCTCTCATTTACAAACACACAAACACACACACACACACACACGCACGCACACACTCCAAGGCTTTTCTGCAGATTATGATTCAGAAATGCACAGGAAGGCTCCAAAAGTCACCATTCTTAACCATTCTTAGGAATGTCTTGGAGCCTGAAGTTCAGCAGAGTTTGTAAATCCCTTTTACATTACCTTCACTTTTTAATGGAATCAAAAATAGTATTTTCTGTATACTGGAAAGAATCAGATACTCTGTATCCATATGTAATACAGTATATGAGTAAAGGTGTTACATACACAGAGAGACTATAACTGAACTTATAGAACTTAAAGATTGCACTGCTCTTCAGACTTGATAGGGATAAAAGTACAGATTCTTCTTTTCATTAAAACACTAGAAAACTTACTTTGGGGGAGAAAATACAAATGGGTCTCTTAAAAATAGTTTTTAAGTATAGGAAATTAGAATTTTGAAAAGGAAAAGGTAATGTTGATACTTCTAATTGAAGTAATGCCATATAGGTTGACAAAGGCCAATTCTATTGACTTGAACCTTGCCTCATTGATATTCTTTCTCTAAATGGGGTTTAGGTCAGAAGAGGCAGGGAGATTTGACAGTGAAAGCTTTTAGGAACAGTATACTAGCACTGACAAGCTGCCAATCAGAGACTTATTGGTAGAAATTTGAAAATATGGTTTTCCACCAACAAAAATACTAGGTAACAATCACTCATTTTCTTATTACTTTTACTTCAATATTTTCATCACGAGTTGTAGGTTTTTCCTATCCCAAGCCAATTTTTGAGATAATTCACATCATTTTGTCTTTACAGTATAACTCATTGTGATTTAAAAAAAAATTTTAGTATTTCTATATTTACGTTTACAGCTTAAGAAAAAAAATTACTCTGCATTTCAGATAAAGGACAATAAAACCAGAAATTTGTGCTAGTATAAATAATGTGACAAAAGCTAACCTGTTGGCTAGTTATGGTTTATAAGAGTAGATTTCCCTAAGTGTTCAGGAAGCCGGGGGGAGGGACATATAATAACTGAAATAACTGATAAAGACTTTTACAGAAGAACTTTTCACATATCTTTCATTTGAAGAAATACTCTCACTTAAAAAATCTGCTGAAATCATTCACAAAGTAATAGATCTATGTTAAGGAAAAAAATCCTATGTACAGCCATATATTCTTCAACTAGTCAACTGGTAATATCATGCCACACTTGCTTTTCTGTAATTCATCTTTACACAGACACACACATATCCCTACGCAGATATTAGTGGTAGTCATTTTGTAGCATTTTAAATCTTTATATTTTGCAATTTCCTAAGGACACACCAGTTTTAAACTGTCAATTCTAGAGGTGAAGGAAATTCTCTCTACATACCGCCTTAATAATACTTCTATTTTGTAAATACTTACATTGAATAAATAAAATTTTTAATTACTCTGAATTTTAAGTAATAAGAGAATGATTTATTACATTACAGTATACAGATTATGTATATGCAATTGGTAAAATTTTATAACCTATTAAGTTTACCATGTGTAGATTCAAATAAAATACAAAAATACTTTTTTGATGATGCATAAAGCATATTGCCAACCTAACATATTTCAACATGAACTTCCTAAGTCTCAAACATTCCGATTATAAATATAATCAATAATTAATCACACACAGGTGTACACACACTTCAAAAGAGCTTCAAAATCTGTATGGTTTAGAAGAAGATTTTCAAGAAACATACGGCATACAAATGACCTATGCTGGTTGTACATTTGCCACTATATCCACATTTAATTTTAAACAGGAAGTGAAAGAATAGGATCGCTGTCTTTTTTTTCATTGGATATGAGACCTCACTTAGGTGGCCACACTTCTGGTGTACTACCCTACTGTCAGTTAGTGCTATCTTAGCTTGCCCCTTTTTAACTATGATTTGCAAAGTGAGTTCTCAGCCAAGTTCCTTGCTTTTCACTGCTTTGTTTCCAAGTAAACTGCACATTTTCCATTAAGTGCTTGAGTCACCTGTCCCCTGTCCCTTCCCCTGTTCTGTCACTACTTCCTTTTTCTGATTTCAGCCATGTAGGCAGCAATCATTCAGGGATAGTTGAAACTAAAGCCAAGTCTTCACATCTCTGTTAATTACTTAATACTGAGAGTGGATAATGGGAGATGCCTGCAGTCTCAAATTCACACTGAAAGTTTGAGGGAATGTCACCACTCCTTAATACAGAGTGGGAAAACAGTAACTGTGGGTGCATCCTTGCCATAGTCCAGTTGTTTGTAAAACGATTATAAATGCAAAATTTCTGCATCCCATGATTCTGATTCTGGAATCTCTGGTTAAGCCTTAGAATCTGTTTAGCAACTACAATGGACTACAGTTTGAAAACCAGGCCACCATGTAGCCACCAAACCTATGCAATAACAGATCTTCTCAAACTGTAGTGTGCATGTGAATTGGCAGGTTTCTTCTTAAACTGTAGATTACATATTCAGTAAATCTGGATTCTGTAGATTTTATGTTCCTAATCAGCACCCAATAGCTGTGGTGCTACTGGTGCACAGGCAAATCTCCAACATTGTCAGGACCTGGTATTCACCTCGGCGAAGATATTATTAGCACATGTTAGATTACTGAAGGTTACAGATGTGACAGAAAGTTTCATAATCTGTTCACAAGCTGGGTTTCCTTTGACTTTCTAATTGCAAAAACCAGTTCATAAGCATGCTACAGTGATAGAGGAAAGCTTTGAAAGTTTGCATTTATAAAATAACTGAAGCTGAATGTTAAGCTTTTCAAATTATCATGGTCTTATCAAAATTACAAAAGAATAATTTGAGGTGCTGTGAATAAATCATTACAGCAAGTTTACCACAGTTGTCATCACAAAACATGGAGGCTTAAAAAATAAATTTACTTTTTCATAGTTCTGGAGGTTTGATGCTCAAGGTCAAGGCATGAGTAGGTTGGGTTTCTTTGGGGCACCTCACCTTGACTTCCAGACATCTGCCCTATTGCTGTACCTTCACATGCTCTTTCTTCTGGTCTGAACTGTCAAAATGTCAGAATGTGACTATATTTGAAGTGGTAAATTAAATAAGCATTGGCCATTAGCCCGAAACTGTCTCCTTACTTTGATTTCCCAGCTGCAACCTAACCTAGTATATAAACAAAATCCCTACACAGAAGTTCTGTATAACGGCAAAGTTTCAGTCAATCACAGGCTGTTGCCAATTAGATGATTGGTCTAATCTGCTTGTGTCTGGCCTATGAACGCTCACTGCTCATGCTGGAGGGTGGAACTCTCTGAGCTGTTTCTGGTTCTGAGCCCTGCCTGGTTTGTAAGTCCTAGCGTGCTCAAATAAACTGTTAAGTTTAATTTGTCTAAAATTTTTCTTTCAGCTTAGATAAGGCCTTTAAAAAGGTAATTAAGTTGAAACGAGGCCATTAGTATGGTTCCTAATCCAATCTGACATCTTTGTGAGAGGAGGAAGCTGTAAGAGTCACTACGGTGTGCACAGAGGGTCAACTTTATGAAGAGGAAGCACAATGGCCACCACCTGCAAGCCATGGGTAGGAAAGTAGCCCTGCTGACATCTGCCTCTTGAAGTTCCAGCCTCCAGAAACACAGTTCTGTTGTTTAAGCCACCGAGTCTGTGGTATTTTGTATAGCGGCCTAGAAAACTAATATATACTTCTGTGTCTGTAGGCAATAGGCATCAGTGCAGAGCATTTCAAAACAACATGGGTTTTGCCTTCTTTCTCACTCAATGAATTATATTCTCGTATCTTTCACATCATTGAAAAACTTCTAAATATGAATTATAACACCGGTGAATACACCGAATATACATTATATCCAAAATACAGGGGGAAGAACAGACTTCTCAGAAAGAAATTCTGAAACATGTTCCTCTAAAAATCCTAGCACTTTAAGTCATAATTAACTGAGAACTAAACAGTTCGGGTTGGTAAGAAATTTTAAATATTCATTAAAATAATAGAAATATAATTACAAGACACTCAAAAATAATGCTTACCTTTGTTTTAGGTTCTAGGATTTTTACTCCATAAATTGATATTTGCAATTCAACTTTAGGAATTTTCTGGCCTTCAGATTTCTTGATGTGTCTTGCAAACTACAAATGAAAAATTATTCACAAAATTATAATTCTGTTTTTGTGGAGAATGAGCACAAACAAATACACGTTATATTCAATGTCAAATGTTAATTAAATGAATTATTTGCCCATTATAAAATACTTTATAAGAACAGCCTCTAAATATTTAATAATCATAGAAATCTACCATTATAATTCAGATTGGTTTTCTGTCACTTTTGAAAAATATGATTTCTGCAGTTCTTTTAGGATATCTGTAAAACTAAATTCATACTAAATAGCTGAGCAAATGAAGAACACTTTCTGAGATAACAAGTAGATAAATTTATTTTTCTATGTATCTTTTGTTTTTAATACCTTTACAGAACTCACAATTGGCCAGCAGTTGGATATGCCATCTTTGGTATTATTAAATATTTACTTAGTTAAAAGCTGCTATTTGATTTTATTTCAAACATATCAATGAATGAAAAGAGATAGACTACCATATTCAAAACTGAAGCTAAGCGTGGAAATAATGAAACCAGTTAAAAGACGCAGGTATAAATATAACCCATACTCTAGAATTATAGTATCTTGAAAACATAACATATTTTCAGTGCTTTCAGAATAGTATTTCGTATATCTTTTCATTGAGTTAATTAAGTGATTATAAATGCTTGTTAGGCACTGTTATAAAATGAACAAGAAAATCAGAATACTAATGCACTTAGATGACATTTCTACCTCTCTTCAGCTTTGAAAGATTTAGTGGTGGGAAAATTATAGAAGTCCAGTTATATTTAAATTTAAAATAATTAATATATTTAAACCTTTTTAGGCAACCTACATACATACACTATACACAATATACACAAAATATATATGGTGATTTAAAAAATGTGCCACATCTTAAAAAGGTTATTCACTGTTTATTTTAAATTCAAAGCTTATTGGTTTTACAGATTTTGTCTGGAAATTTCACTTGGTTCCTATACTCTTGCCTCCTTCCCCCATCTTTCTTTTTTAAAAAAGAAAGAAAAAATATTTTGAAGTAGGATTTTCATGCCTCTTTTGCAGGCTTCAGAAGTTATTTACTACTGTAACAGTCTTCTCGGCACATGAAAAGTCATCCTGACGGATGTTACTCAAAATACAGCCCATGGAAAGCAGGCCGGGGCTCCGACCTTTCCTATGTTGGATTTATCTGCATTGTGCTTTTCACCCTAATTTAGGGCAGATGTGGATGCACATGGTCTTGTCCAGTTCTGGGGCAGAGAGGTTCAAAGCCTTCTGCTCCTTTCATGCCTTTACAATGCTATGGGACACATCATCAATGCACACAAGGGCCTTCAAATGTCTGCCTCTGTATTCTGCAGGGAGCCATTTGTTTTCTTCTATTTTGGGTGGTGTAATTTTTCAGCTTGCTGCTTTATGAATGTAGTCCACTTTTTCTCCCTTTATTTTGTATCCAGCAGTCATACGTTCTGCACATGATTCAACCAACTTGTGCCAGAGAATTTTCTTTTTCTATCTTTAAGAAATATGAACTGCTTCAATGTACATCAAAAATTATTCCAACTCTTCCCAAAGAATGCACATTAACTTTCGTTTCCCTTCTTAAATTTCTTCTTGCACTGGCATATTTAAACAATGGAGGGCTGAAACTGCTCTTCATCTGTGTAAAATTATCTGAGCAAACCGTTGTTGGCTGCAGAACCAATCTAAACTTGTGTCCTCTGTGCGTCTGCTTTCCAGAGACAAAACAGGCAGTGGCTTCTGGGGCCTGGTCTATTGATATCTGAACACAACCATTTCTGCAACCTCTGACAAGAATTTGATTATTTTGCAAAAAGCCTGCCATAAAACAAGCAGTAATAATACTAAACGCATCTGTTGAGCAAGAAAGAATGGAAGAAATGGGGAAAGGAAAAAATCAGGGTCTGATGGTAGAAAAATAACACACAGGAGGGCTAAGAAGGAAGGATATAAATAGGGAGGGAAGAGGGAAGGGAGAGGAAGAGGAGGAAGAGGAAGAGGAAGAGGAGGAGGAGGGGAGGGGTGGCTGGGCTGTAGCTCAACATGAAGGCCCTGGGTTCAATCTCCAGTATTAGAAGGCACGTTGATCAATTTATCTTATGTTGTTTTCTCTCTACATTTACAATACTAATGCTTGAAGACTGTGTCTGCAAACCTGTTTTCAGTTTTGCTTTAGTAGATTCATTTCTTGGTAGATCTAGATAGAATGATCAACCATTAAAATTTGAATATAACGATCCAATAGAAAATGTTCAAAGGGAATGAGACATAAACATCCTGGATAGTGTTCGGATACAACAAACAAGCAAATCTTTTGTTACTGAAAAGGATAAAGAATTATTTGAAGTACAAAGTATTATCTGAAAAGTAAAAACTTAGTTAGATAAGTATCATTGTCATAGAACTGCTCATGAAAATTGAAAGAGAATATTGAATTTCAATGTCATCCTTATACAATTTCTATCCATTTTTCAAAGGACTTTTGAAAAAGTGAACTCTAACTATATTACTAATGGGACATATATTATTAGTAAAGAAAATTAATTTGTTACTTTAGGCCAATTATTTTGAGCTACTATTCCTCTTTGGGTTTCTGACACTTAAATTTTCAAAGTATTTTTAGTAATCATGAGAGGAAATCAACTACATTTGCATACAATATATTAAGCTGTAAACATCTTACGAAATACCAGTTATGACGCCAAAAAAGAGTCACGCTGCCCAGAGTGAGGTTGAATGGAGAAGCTGCTAGGCTGAGACTAAAGGGACAGTGATTCCCCAAAGCCCTACTTCCTGGAGGAAGTAACTTTAACTAATTTTAATTGAGGTCCCTCTAAAAGCAGGGCCTCAGAGTGCTGCCCCTGCTTGATTCCCAGGAAAACTGACAACTTTGGAATCTGCATGCCAGAGCTTCTCATATGCAAATATCACAAGGTGTTTATGAAACTGAGTCCTGTGACAGCTGTATGACTTACATGAATGAAAACAGATAAATCACTATGGAAAAGGAAACTCATTACAATAGTAATGAGCTGATAAGGTCTTTATTACAGCTTGAAATATTTGGTATTTCTTAAAAGTCAGCCTAAAATATGGTTAAGAAATATTAGGAACTACTATTGAAAATGCTTTTACAAATAGGAAACATATTCTTTTGACAAACAGCATGAGAGTAAAATTCCAATGCTTATATAATTATTACACTGAAGAAAATTTTATAAATTATACCTTCTCCATAAAATGGCAGAGAAATACTAAATAAAATGTCAAAGTTTTAAAAATTCTCTGGAGAACAAAGCAAGCATCACAAAACACAGAGACATGAAAAATACATTTCTGAAAATCCAATTTTTCTATCAGCTGTGTTCTTAAATTTTGAATTCTTAATTTCAAAAGCGAAATGCATTTAACATTACAATCTTTTCTAAAAAGAAGTAAATGTGAATAAAATGTTACCGTATCTGTCAAAGAAAATCAAATACTAAACCACAGTAGGTTTTTAAAGTTGTCAGAAACATTTATTGGAGAAAAACAAGCAGAAAATCAAGAAGAATTTGAGTGCACTTGGTCAAGACATAAATTCCTTTTTTAGTAGAGCCATAGCACCACCTGCTGGTTATTTCCTCACAAAACAAAATTTAAAAGGAACCTGGGTCAATGTTGCAAAAATAAGTGCAAATATTCTTGGCATACCTGGAATGGTAGCCTCTGACTTCTGACACAAATTTTAGAAAACATAATAAAAATAAATAATAAAAATCATTTTTATTCATTCTAATTAGTACCAGAATCTCTACCCTTAGATATATTTTTCTGAGATACAAAATATTGCAATTAGAAGAGTAAAAATTATTTAAAATATTGTATTTATTTTGAAAGACACTTGAGAGACAAAAATTACTATCAGATAAGTAGGCATGTTTAAATTATATTGCACGATTTTTATCTTAGTTTAAATTATATTACTTTCTAAACAGAGCATGTATTCCAAGTATGAAACTAGATTGGAGCTCCACATAGAATCCAGCAAAAATGTATGTAAACTAGGCATTGTTTGGAAAGTATTTAATTTCAAATATCTTTTTACATTTGACTTGGTGGTTACATAATGAAAGTCTTTTGGTTTTACCTTTGAGTTGACTGAAGAAAGAACCCTCTCAACATAAAGAAACTTTGTATAAACACTGCAGTTCTTTTATAAAACATTCAGATTGTAGTGAAGTTGGGCACATGCCCAGAATTTGTAACATTTTGAAAACATTTAAATAGAATCCTATTCTCCAGAAACTGTATCCTTTAAATTTGCCACTGATGGATTACAACTATTGGGCAAACGGGAAAGTCTGAATTACCTAATGAGTAGTGGAAAGAAATGGCTGGCTAGTCCCCTTGTTTTTATACATTTAAGTCATTTGCATCAAAACAGGTCCACCTTGACACCATAACATTAGATGAAATAAATCAGACACACAAGCTTAAATATTGCATCCTTCCTCTTTATATAAGAAACCCAAAGCAGAATAAAAGATAAGAGGCAACAGGGAGATAAATCTTTTTCAAATGGGAAATGGACCAAGTGATGGAGGGAGGAGGGGTGTGTGTGTGTGTGTGTGTGTGTGTGTGTGTGTGTGTGTTAAAAAAAAATAAGATCTGTCCTATACATGTGTACCAATGCGACCACCACAAATGTAGTCATTACGTACTGCAAACATGTACTAGTAAAAATAAAAATTTTTTAAAATGAGACTAATGTTTTTTTGGAAACCGTTAGTATGTTAATTAAAAGAATCAGATAAAATATCTGCATACAAAATGAATAGATGAAATATTACCTACATTTCTTCTTCACCCATTATATAAACCATACCACTTAAATTTTTCCTTAAACACTGCAGTTTCCACCTGGTGTGACATTCACAAAGCAAAGCAATGTTTTTGAATGTCCATGATTTTGCCTGGAACAATCAGGAGCCTAATCTTCCTGTGGAACACCTGGAAGATCCTTTTATCAAATAAAATTAGAGAAAAGGTTGTTTCTTTTAGAATGTGAGAGCAGCCTTCAGAATAACAACTATGTAAACAAGTAAGGAGAGTTTCGCTACTGTAAAGATGAGGATCTTGTTGGAAGAGTTTTCTCATTTTAAAATCCAAGTAAGAACACTGTCCTTTGAAATGCGGAATAGACAGGTAAACATGCCACGTGGCATGGCATCTTATGTGAAATTTTCTTGGGAAACTTCCTGTTTGCTTATTCAGTGTCCTACTCTGCTCTCTTATGGTCACCAGGTCCCCTTTGGCTGCTCATGGGCAGAGACAAATCCCATTGCCTTTGTCCATCTGGGCATCTTTACTATATAGCATCACTGTAAAATCCTGCTCTGCAGCCATTCTATCTCTACATTTTCAGCTGCTGGGTGTGAGGCAGCTGTCATGCTCTTGCCAGTTGCTGAGAGAGAGCATGAGTTCGCATTGTTCAAGCAAAGACTAGGTAGGCTATTGAGCATCAACACTTATGAGATATCACCACTGGACTGTTTTACTGATAATGAGCAGCCATACCTTAGAAAAATAAAAATAATATGCCATATAGCAATATAATAGTGTGGACACGGTTTTGGTTAAAAATGTCTCCTTGATCTGATGATATTTATTCAACAGTTCACTTTTCACAGGCTGAAGTCATGCCTGCCACAAAGCTACCCAATGCTTTGATTTCCAGAGAGTCCTTAGGCTTTTTGTACCTTTAGCTTCCGCACCGCATCTCGCACAACTTCCGTCCCCTTTGGCTGCTCCACTTCTGTACTGCCAAGAAACTGAAAAGGGTCACGGTGAGACTCGAGCTCCAGTGCGTCCTTTATCACAGACCACCCAGCTGCAGTGGTGTGCAGCTGAATGCTTTGACCCTAACACACAAACTCACATTCAATGGAAGCATTACTAATATCATGCCTGGATCATAGGAACATTGAATTATATCACTTGATCGTTTACAGTTCCCGTAATTCAAACTTTTAAAAATCACATGCTTTTCCTAAATAATTTACTTGCAGATTTTTATTGGAAAGAAAACTAAAGTTATTTAATTGAGCCCACAGGAAAAAAGTCGATTATGGCAGTTAAAATTTAGTAAACATGCGAACAGTTAAAAATTACCTGTGAATTCAAAGCATATAAATTTTTTATTTGTTACTATATTTAAAATTCACTAGTGTACTTCATGACTTGTAATTTCATATTAACATTTTTTGCAATTATAAAACTCATAGAGCATATAGAATTTAAAAGAAAAAAGTTTTTAATACCCAACTCATACCACTCAGTAGAGCTGTATCTAGACTAGATTTTTAAAATATACATGATCTACAATTTAATTTTAAAGCAACACTGAAGGTAGTTACTGAGGGTGTTTAGTTAAAACTTAACCAATCCAAAATAAGAAGTGAGAAGTTTCCTAATTATTACCACACTGTAATGAAATCTCTACCCTAGAGAGACATAATACCTCCTAAACTGAGTCCAATATCATGACACACTCAAGACCAATTAGAATTGAAATACAGAGATTTTATTCCTGAAAGTATTTCTATGTAAATTTCAAAAAATCATTAAATTCATATTATATATAACTTATCAGAGACTTACTTGATTATGCACACACTGCCAACCATAACACTAAAGACAGTCACGAATTCATCCTCCTCCCATGTACAGAGCAGACAGATGGTGACTGTGTGGGTATACCCCTCACCTTGAATGACTGAGGGGACCCTTCCGTGGATTAAGTGAATTAAATAGGTATGATTTCAAGGGTTACTTTACAGAATAGAAGGGAACAAAACAGGCAAGTCACGCTATCTCTTATTCTTTCCTCTATTCTTGAAAAAGACTGAGCTCCATGTACTAAAATAGGCAAAGAGACTTAGAAATTGTTAACAGGTTAGGAAGCTGGAGGCAGGAAACACAGGAGGTAAGTGCTGCTCCTGTTCCGATGAACTCAGAGAGGAGGGCAAGCAAAGCTGCCTCCTATGAAACAAAGGGAAGGGTTACTTCTCAGATTCGATAAGGTGCAAAGGCTTCCTTTCCTAACCTGCTCAAATCATACCGAACAGCTGCTCCTGGGGCCTAGGTAAGATGTCTCAGGCTCTCAGGTTGCCCCACTGTGGCTTCAGCTTGTTGGATGACCGAGCACACATGAAAAGAAGTAAACGGGAAATTCCTAAATGGAACTGAAAGCCTTCTGCCACGACGGAGGAGAAGCCCAATCTACTCCTGGCCAATGGGCCTTTCTTCTGTCGTAGGTGAGTGTTTGTAACTGTAGCCGCACGATGGATTCACATGAGGAGATTTAAACTTACAACCACCACCTGTAAGTCAGATTTGGCTGGTCAGGGGCAGAGCCACAGCATCTGTATATGTGAAGGCTCCCAGGGCGGTTTCAATGTGCCACCAGGTTTGGGAAGCAGTGTTTTAGGCCACCCAACAAGAGCAGAAGGTTGAAGGAGCAGAAGGGGATCTGTTTGGTTTGGAGTGAAGCCACTGGGGAAATTCGAGTTCTAACCTCCCCTGCATTTATCACAACATGGAGACAGTCGCAAGTAGTGGGTCGTGGAGTACCAGAGGGAGGCAAAGGCAGATTCTGAATGCTTAAGTGACGCCTTAAGTAGAAGGAAGGACTTCCTGTGTCAATAACAGAGTGTAAGAGCAGCTGGCCACAGTTCTGAAAGAATATTCCTACTTCAGCAGAAATGCTGGGTATTACATACAAATACACAAATAAGCATCTATGGGGAGATGATGGGAGAACTCCAAGTATATTTTTGAATCCACCTCTAGCAGTGCTTCAGGAACCTTCTAATATGTCTCTTTAACCCTGGCTTTAATTAAGCCAATTGAGTAACAAAGCTATGGCAGAAACCTTGAATGATGGTGGGAATTAAACTAAAAGACATTTTAATATGGTCCTTTCTCCTCTGCAATTAATAATTTTAAAACTGAAAAACAGTTTATTCCTTTTATTTCTTACAGCTCTTTAAATTATAAAAGTCATGACCTTACTCAGATTAAATAAGTCAAATTTGTATGCCTTCCATGATTACATAAAATATTTATAAAACTCTTCAACACGATGTATCACCACCAGAATGAACTGGTGGTGACTTAGAATTTGAAGATGTCAGAAAGCCACTTAATCTCTGTATTATATGACCACTGAATAATAAGTATAAGAACACTGATCTTCTCTCCCTGTGAAATAATTCTAAAGAGTGACTGCAATAAGAGATGAAAAAAGAGGGAAAAAAGTATACACTGGAAAGTGTTTTATAGTTTGAGGAATCGCTGTTCCTTTATTCAGTGTTTGTTTGGGGAAGACATGAAGATTTAGTAGATGTGGTCAGGCTCAGCTCCAGGGATCCATTTGTTCAGCTCTCACACTCAACTCCAGCTCCTGCAGGCTGTGCTGGTGAAGGCTCACACTCAAGGCTCACAGGCTTCCTTGTGACTAATCACTGCACCTTTCCAGTACTGAAGCAGAGAGTTCTGCGCACATGCATACACACACACACATGTCCCATCCCCTTATCTCCATGTTCCTCAGCCCACAACTGAATCAGTGAGCAGGAAAAAGCCTCCCTCCTTTGCTTGGAGATGGATAACTGTAAGTGTAAGGTCAGGATGCAGAGCTGCCCTGCTCTCAGACTGAGCCTGCTGCATCTCAGGCATATCCCTCCTTCATTTTTTCCCTTTGCCTGTTCTGCTTTTTCCTATTCCTTTACTATTTTCATTGAGGAGTGCTCCCTTAATGACTTATGTGCACCTAAATCTTGCCTTGGGGTGTAATTCTGGAAAGAACTGACGTTAGATACTACTTTCGTGTTTAAATGCTTCATACTCCGGAAACACACTGTCTACTATACAAACTGTCAAATAACCAAAATGCTCTGCCGTGTTATTGAAAGGCTTGTATGAACAAGACCGGTTAGACATAAGACTGTGATTTTCATCTTTTCCCACTTGGTGGTGTAATGATGAAAAAAAGAAAACTAAATGATCCCACCAATGGGGAATTGATCCCTCCTATCCCATGAAAAGAGCAGTAAACTGCACGAGGCCAGGGGAGCTGCGGACTACAAAATGCTAGGCATGGTAGAGAGCAGGAGTGAGACATCCATCTGAAAGAAAGACACTGAGCTTCCACTTAGTCCACGTGCTCTGTTGCGAGACTCCCCAAGCCCTTTACTGGCCTGAGTCCCGGGATATCAGATGCCAGTCTTATAAGTCTTCAGGTAGGATAATACCTCCCTAGGGAAAGTGGCCCAAGAAGAAAATAATACAACCTAGGCTGACAGCAGTGTTTCACATAAGACAGCAATGGTCACTGTAGGAGTCACAAGTTGACAGCAGAGAACAAGATAAAGCAAATCTTCTGTTCTTTTGGAACTTACACCCTAAGGGGGAAGATAAACAGTAAAAACAAACATGTATAATAATTGAATAGCATTTTAGAAGTAGTCTAGAGACAGAACAGGATCCATGTGTCATTTCTATCTGTGGCTCCATATTGGATAGGATGACCACAGGAGACCCCAGTAAGAAGGTAAAATGTAAGCCAGCCAGAAAGGTCATGATCCAGCTAGACACTTAGGGGCTGGCAGCCCAGACAAAAGGAACAGAAAGTGCAAAATTCAGGTACTTTTTAAAAAAGATACAAAATAGAGCAATTTAAGAATTGGTCTAGGACCATTATTTTTAAAAACTCTGTAGCTATACTGGTAACATCAGCATTATCTGTGAAACTGTTATAAATACAAATTTTATCAAATCAGAAATTCTAGAGTTGGGGCCCTGCAACTGGTGTCAGTATTTCCTCCAAGTGATTCTCATATGTGTTTAAATGTGAGAATCATATTCCCAGGAAATTCAGCATCAAACCACATAGAGTTCGAGAAAGAGAGAACAGAAAAACCCAAAGGAAGAAAGTCATCACTTCTCCAGAATCAAAGTTAAGACAGCGTTGTCATGAGTAAAACACACAGAAAGACACGCAGGTGGGCTCATCACTAGAGATGAATAAGAGGAGATGAGGAGATTAAAGATCATTTGAAATGCTAGAGAAACACAAACTCCCCCAGGATCACAAGTATGAATCTCCACAAATGTCTTCATGTCAGCAACAGTGGAGGAAAAATGACTTCAACTTTTGAGTCAAGTTTATAGTCTATACAGAAAAAAATCATACTGATCTGTACCTTGGCCCAGAATTTTGCCCTCCCAAGCCCTGGGTCTCAGTACCACAAAACAAAACAGAAGTAAAATAAAACAGAAGGATAAGTGGAAGCCATGTACCAGGGAGGACATGGCAGGGGGTGTCGATCACCACTACAAACAGGACACGGAAAGCACAGCAGTGGGGGAGTTTATTCAGAAGCAGAGCAAAACGCGAAAAGAAAAGTAGGAAAGTAAAAGGATTTGGTTCAATGAGACGTGGATAAAGATCTGGGGATGGTTTGGGCTTTCTGTTTTGTTTTGTTGGGTTTTTTATTGTAATTCCTAAAGAGATACTTTTTTAAATGGACAGAGACTTCTGTGATAAATAAAAGTTAAATCACCAAATGCTAGCATCAACTTGGCACATATTCACTTATTCCAAAAAGAAATGTATGTGCTATGGAAAAATATTCCTTATAGATTTTATTGCTAACAAATATACACTTGTGTGTTTGTGAGTGTGCGTGTCTGTACCTATGTCTATGTTTGTGCCTAGACCATAGACAGATGTGCTATATCTTAGATGGCATAAGCAAAGAACACATAC